GTTGTTTCGCTGCTGCTTCTCTCCACGTCGAGTGGTGAGAGTGAGGTGATAAGGGAAAACAGCTGATATCAACAAGTGAGAACTCGTGCGACCGCACCTTCTCTTCGCCTTGAGCACGTACAACCTCATTAAGCAAGGGGTTCTATATAGAGCCTTTCCTATGATTTCTTTCTGATTTTTCTTCACTAAGGGGTTACTTGCTACCTTGTTATAAGTATTTGAGCCGCATAACTCATCAAATTTGAATGCGGGCTCAGCCTTTAAGGAAACTACGACTTGTGCTTCACAACTAATCAAGGCTAAGCGGCCGTTTTACTACGACTTTTCATATTCTACGTATTATATATTATATTATCCTGTTATACTATATATCATATTATCCTATTACATCGTTTTTGCATTCCTACGGTTGTATGAGATAGAGAAGAAAAATATCTAATTACCGACAAAAAATTCCGGAACCTTGAAATCGGTTCTAGAGACGCAACATTTCCAGCATAGGAGACAGCATATTGAACATGTGTTAACACGTTGAGCGCGCTATTTCGCCGCGTGCGATGAGGTTTTCAGCGTCCGGCAATATGCGAAACATTAACTCAACAGTATAGAACATTTTCAGAAAAATGTTCAGTTGCGGGAGTATACCTGTCATTGAATGCAAGTATAGTGCTCGCTGTGGACGAAGGCTCGTCGGGTGAGATGAGTTGGGCACGATGCCAAACCTGTTCTCCACCAGCTGTTGAAGCGAGCAAATACAATAGTGTATCATATCGTTCGTATCACTCGTTTTCTACCAATTTCTGTCGCCACAGCAACTGGCAGAGAACCGAGTTTGGCACCGTGGTACACTCATATTACCTGATACACCCCGTCATCCGCGGCGAACTGGGGTGTAACCATTACCAATACATGCAGACTGACAGAGCATGGTGGGTAGTTCAGCAGAGTCATTGATTCATGTACTTTTACTCTCCTTGCTTGTAAATTATTACTTATCACGCTGTTTTCCCGCTCTTTCGAGGGGATTCCAAAAATTATTTTAGCTCACGTAAAAAGAATAAAAAAGGGTGTCCGGCGACTCCCAACAGGGCACAGCATTGGTTGGGGATTTCGGTCGGACCCGTACTACCCATCCCCTTGTTGGGGGTTCAGTACGACCCCCCCCCTTTTTTTCTCACTGTTTGTTTTTCTTTTCGAGCTGGAGCTAGGCACTAGAGCTATATGGCGGCTCTAGATTGTAAAGGCATAAAGTGTTAAAGAGGAGATTGCCAGCGGGCATACAGCCCACCAGCCACTCCAAGAGGGCATGCTAGAATGAACGGGTAGAAGAGATAAGCTATCGTATCGTCTCGTATCGTATGAATGATATAGGAGAGACTAGCCGTGGGGAGTGAGTTCACTTCTTCGTGTGTGTCCGCTCTCCGCTGGTGGCCTACCCGCCTCGCCGTTCCCAGTCACCGTCGACCCCGGTAAGTACCCTATCCTCTTTCCATTTCAGGTCGAGGCCAAGACGAATCTTGGCGAATCAAGCGCTAGTGATTTGTTTTTCCTTTGTAGTATAAGTGTTCGTTGTTTCCCAATAAACTGTTGTGTTACGAATCCTTTCGATCACAGAAGTAACCGTTCGTAGGAGTCACACACCTTAACTTGGGGGCCGAACCGACTACGAAACTGTATACTTCTGTGGTCAAGGATCAGTGAAAAGCAAGACTAAGCCTTTGCTAAAGTGGACTCGCACCTCAAAGAAAGAAAGGGTGTCGAAGTAAGAAAGAGTGGAAGCAGGAACACTCTAAAAAGGAGCCTAAAGAGACAGAAACATACAGGAATACGCCATAAAGAAAGGAAATGGTAATTTTAAGAGAAGTTCCTCCACGCAAAATGAGCGATTCAAATAACGAAGACGTTATAATGGAGGAAGAATACAATACCACCGATGAGCTATCTACACAGGAGGTAAGCAAATCTGAGGATACTGAGAAAAGCGGAGAGAGAAAAGGGGACGAATGCATGGAAAGGGTGCGCGAAGCACTAAAAAAGATAACAGTGATAATGAGTAATACAAAGATCCCCAAGCGAGCCAGAGTTGATTTGGAAAACAGCGTAGATCAGATAACTGGGGCGATTGAAAAACTAGAGAGTGTGATGATGCGTGACAATATGGTGATCCCGCAAGAACTGATGAAGCAAATCACAGATACGCTTACCCAGAGGGGAATAGAGTCAGAAGAAGAATGGAAGGAGTATATAAAAACTGTCGAGAAAGATGGAGAGCTGGTGAACGAGTTGTGTGAACTCCTACAAACAGATGTTTTCCAGCTCAAGAAAACAATCGAGTCAAGATGCACCAAGCCCATCAGAAAGGAGAGGCTCGAGCTACAGTCTGGTAAGGGCACCAGGCAAGATTGCGCAACGCAAACTGTAATCACCTCAGGGCAAAATACAATATTGCAGGAGAAAGCTTATTCGACTGGTCTGACATCTGCTCTCAGCTGGCAGACACATGGAATGAAACCACCGGAAGCAATACCAGTGCGAGAGGACGCAGGTACCGTGGCCAATTTCCAGTTAGCAAACTACCTGAGGGCCATGACATGTGCTGATCCGGGAGTATTCAAAGGGTCGAAAAGCGAAAACTTTCAAGAATTTCTAAGAAAATTCAAGCGAAAGTATGAGACCGTAATTACAAACGAAGAGACACTAATCGATATTCTGGCGGATGACCATTTAACTGGTCGAGCTAAAAATGTGTTCGAAGCACTTCCGCGCGGATAAAAGAGAAGGCTTCGATGTAGTAATGCAAGAAATGGCGAAGATTGTTAGCATGCGACTCCACAGCTGGCAGAATGAGAGCGTTAACCGAATTAAGAAACTTGACAATGAGACCGGGTCAAGAAGTGGCAGAGTTTTGCGTAGTCCTCGAGAAAAAAGGCAAACAAGCAAATCCAGAAAGCTCACTAGAAGACAGGTCCATGGATTATGCTCAAATACTTTTAGACAACCTGAGCGGCTGGCCTGAACACTTCCAGTTGGTGGGTGCGCTTCACAGAGTGGAGCCTCAGAAGGCATACGAAGAAGTAAAACAGTTGGCTATCAGTATAGAACAATCAAAAATAATGCTAGAAGTTAACAAAGTACAAGCCATTAGCGTGGAGAAACAGATATGCTCAGTACCAGGGCAAGGAAGAAAGGACACAGATATGGCAGAAGCCGATAACGAGACCATTCAATCACCAAGAAATCGAGATGCAAATACAGCACAATGCGAAAACCGTTCATTCGGGTGAAGCTAGGAAAGCAAGTATCGGAGACAGGAGTTCTGCAACGCAGGAACCGAAATATGGTGAAGCAATACAAGGGAGGAAGTGCTACCATTGCTCAAAATATGGACACATAGCACGTGAATGCCCATCCCGAATGGGAAATGTTAACCATAGGGATCGAAAGAAATTCCCTTCGAAGAATGAAGAAACAAAGTTGTCTTCCATAATAGAGCGAAATCGTAGTATGGGGATGAAAGCTCGACGAAAAAGATCTGATGACAGCGATCTCATTGGGAAACGGATAATGGTCCCTGTGAGACTTCTTGGAGATCGGTGTACAGCCCTTGTAGACACTGGTTCCATGATCAGCATTATTCCGTTGAAAGTCCTAGCGAAAGCACAAGATCGAGGATGGGATGTTGACTCTTTGAAGGTAGTGCCGAAGTCAAGGCTAAAACCAGTGTTTGATGCTTCCAACAAGAGAATGGACTTCGTTGGCGCAGTTCATATCGAAGTTGAAATGGATAGTGGGAACACCGAGATGATTGCATTCCATATTAGTGCGGACAAGGAAGCAGAGGCTATCATTGGAACGAACGCGTTGAAGAAATTGGGAATTAAACTGGCTGTAAACGGAGTACGCAGGAAGGACGACAAAGCATCTTTTGAAAGCAGGATTAGCAAGAAGGTGACTGTGTCGTCGAGCTCCTGTCGTAGTCAGGCGATTGCCAAACCTCATGATAGGATGGCAGCACAAAGCACTAGTTTAAAAAGGTCGTACAGGAAAGACATGTATGTCAGAAAAGATAAAATTGATGGTAACAAACATCCAAGGGTAGGGAACCGGCTGTATGTTCCGACACCCAGAGAAGGAAACCGAAGGGTAGCGGTTGATTGGAGAGGACCACCCAAAGCAAGTGAGGCAAAGATTACCTCCGTTTCATCAGAAATAGGGCAAGAGACTAAGGCGATCAGTTTTGGGCTACCGGAGCTCGAACAGTCGCCGAGGTCGACGACTCCGCGACGGGGAGGCATGTTAAAGAGGAGATTGCCAGCGGGCATACAGCCCACCAGCCACTCCAAG